CGCGGGGGGCAAGGACGGGTGCCCAGCCACAGGACAGGGAGAGAAGTCTCACCCTCACTCCCCTCTCCTCTTTCCTGAAAGTACTGGCAACTGCCCAGCCAGCAGCCAGCCAGACCGCAGCGGAGCTCGGCCGACAGCGCCAGCCCATACTTGTCACAGGCCACGTAGCCCAGGGAAGCGGCCACGTCCCAAGCTCTGTGCTCCCACCCCAGAACTGCCCTGCAGCCAGCAGGGCCCTCGGGACAGGCACTCACATAATGTACTCCTCCTTGTTCTCCTCCGTCACTCGGATGCTCTCACCACCCTCCTTCAGCTCGTGGGTGGTCACCTTGCCCAGGATCTCCATGTCCTGGATGAAGTACAGCTCCAGGCCGCACTCTTCCAGGCTGTTCTCCCTGTGGGAGGACACCGGGATGTGATTGCTGATGGAGGGGCCGTGGGGGGCAGAGCTGCCTCCCCCGCAGCAGAGCTGCCTCCCCTGCAGCAGGACTGGCCCGGGCCAGGGAGGAGTGTGGGACTCTCACTTGGTCCAGACGATGGAGTTGTAGAACTCGGGGTCGATGGACTCCAGGTCCTTCAGCGTGGGCCGCTTGTTCAGCATCCGCTTGTAGAAGGGCAGCGTGAAGCCAGTATCGATGAACTTCCCGTGGTACAGAGCCTGTGGTGGGGAGGTGACGCCAGGTCAGGGGGCCCCCAGGACAGACCCACAGGGCCAGACAAGGCTCCACCACCGCGGCAGCTGTGGGGCAATGGGGAATCACTGCCCTGGTGCCAGGAGGCTGGAAGGAGCAGGCCCCCAGCAGCACTGCCTGGGGGCAGCTCACTGAGTGCAAGCAGCCCCTCTCCCCTCCCCACCGTGAATTCCACCGCGTCTCCTTCTCCCCTCACAGCTCTATTAAGAGCACTTGTTTAAACAGAGCTGTGCTGCGGCTTCCCTGAATCCCTGGCTTCCAGGAGCCCCGAGGCAAAAGCAGCCAAAAATAATGCAGACGCTTGTCTAGAACAGCCCAGCGGTGAGTAATAGTCTGGGGTTTTATTGGTATCCTGCAACACACAGGGCAGGGCAGGGCAGCAGGGACCCACGCAGCCACCTCCTGCACACGCCTGGCATGGCCACGGGCAGGGACCTCCCCCAGGGACCCTTCCCCAGGCTCAGGGAGCCCCTGGCAGCTCCCTGGCAGCCCAGGGCTGGGCCACCTGCGGCACATTGGCCATGGCAAATGCGAGAAGAGCCGCTATGGGGCTTGGGCAGCTGGAAAATCTCACACTGCTGGGGCTAAAAATAGTCCCCGGAGCTGTAGAGCCGACTGCACCTGGGGCGGCAGCCAAAGACCTGGAACCATCCCCACCACACAGCCCCTGGGAAACCAGGTCCCCCCGGCCCCACAGCCACTCCCTGGATTAAAAACGCATCACCCCACAGCCTTCCCCATGGCCCCCCGCAGCCCGGCTCCCACAGACCCTCACCTGAGTGAGACAGGGCATGAGGGAGGTGAGAGCACCCAGCTCCGGCACGTGGAGCTGCCACTCACCCCACCGGGCACCCCAGTCCCCTGCCAGGCCCCCGCCCCACGGGAGGGACACAAACCCAGGGTCCCAACCCCTCTACGCCCTGCTGCAGCTCTTACCATGGCGATGAAGCGGCCAATGAAGCGGAAGTAGGTGAGGTGGTCGGGGTTGATGGAGGAGGCAGGGTTGATCTGCAGGCAGTAGTTGTTCTTGCCAGCATACTCGAAGAGGCAGTACATGGGGTTGAGCACCTCGTGGGACAGGAGGAAGAACCACTCCCTGGGGCGAGAGGAAGGGGTGGCACAGTGATGAGGGGCTCGAGGAGCTGGGGTGCCTGGGGAGGGAGCAGCCGTGTGCGGCCGAGCACACCCTGCACAGAACGGGCGCCCGTCTCCTCACGGTGCCGGTGCCAGCATGGTGCCCTGGTGTGACCTGGCAAGGGTGTCTCTGCCCCAAAGTCACTGCATGTGGCTTGTGAAGGGCCTCTGGAGACACCAGGAAGAAACGCACCAGTGTGCTGGAGGCCCCACTGGGAGCACTGGGGATCCTGGCAGGCGCCACGTGGCTCGGTCCCAGCCAGGCTGCTGCACGTACACACACAGAGTTGTGTGCACACCCCCCAGGCTGTGCACAGCCCCCAGGCCGCCCCAGGAGCTAGAGCAGCATGGGACAGGTACCATCTTGGCTTTGCTCCCCTGGCCACGCAGGGAGACGCGAGTCCTCAGACGCAGAGGCAGCCCCAGCATCCCGTCCGTGGTTCTACCCTGTGGTAGAACAGCATGACGTAACCTACCATAGGGTAAAACCACTGGCAGGACACGGAGAGAGGTGGAGAGCAGGAGCCCCTGCACCAGAGCGGGGGGCAGCGGCACCATGAGGGAGGAGCGGGCAAAAGCATGGCAGCATGACTGGCAGGGTGGCAGCACGCAGGGCAAGCATTAGCCCAGCACCAAGGCAGACACCCCAAGAGAGCTGGCAGGGTTTGGGGGGACATGGGACCCCCTCCACTGAGATACAGCTGCACAGTAACACATCCTGGGGCTGGCAGCAGAGGCTGCAGGCTCAGAGCAACCACATCACACCACGTCTGCCCTGGCACACACCGACTGTCCTGGGCAACAGCAGGGCCTGTCAGCTGCGGGGAGAAGAAGCCGCTCAACCCA